GTCATGGTGGATACAGTGATACAGGGATACAGTGATAGAGGGATACAATGTTAGAGTGATACAGTGTTGGGGGAATACAGTGAGAGAGTGATACAGTGTTGGGGGAATACAGTGAGAGAGTGATACAGTGATAGGGGATTTTGTGATAGAGGGATACAGTGATTAGCAGGACACAGTGATAAGTGCCTATTCTATTAGGAGATACTGTGATGGACATACAATGATTTAGGGATACAGTGATAGTCTGATAAAGTGATAAAGAGATACAGTGATTGGGGGATACAGTGATAGAGAGATACAAAGATAGAGGGACACAATGATAGAGGGATACAGTGATGGGAATACAGTGATATTAAGATACATTGATAGAGGGCTACCTTTATAGAGCGATACACTGACATAGGGATATAGTGACAGAGATCCTGTGGTAGAGAGGCACAGTGATAGGTACACAGATAAAGAATGATACAATGGTAAAGAGATGCTGTGAAAAAGGTACAGTGATGCAGAGAGACAGTCAGGCAGAGACAGACAGTTACAGGCTGACAGTGATAGAGAGATAGAGAGATGCTCTAACAGAGTGATAAGTAGACATAACATTATAGAAAGGCACCATAACGGAGATAGAGCAACAGCATTATGGAAAGTTACAGTGTCAGAGAGAGACAGCAATAGTGTGACGGAGTTTTAGATACGGTGGTGAAGAGATAGAGACAGCATGATGGAAAGTGATATAGAGTGATAGAGAGACACATACGAGAAAGAAACAGAGATATAGAAATTGAGTGACAGGGAGGGACAGCCTGACAGAAAGATACCATGGTCGAGAGATGGATTGATAGAGAGACATACAGAGGGAGTGATAGTTGGATTGATAGAGAAAGCATGATAAGGACACAGTGACAGAGCGATACAGTGACAGACATTCAGATAGGGAGAGTGAGTGATGAAGTCATACAGTGGTGGGAAATACAGTGTGTTACACAGAGAGCCAGCTTGTACTGCCAGCAAAGGATATTACCACATCACCGACTGTTGAACAAAGGAGAAAGCTGGCAATCTCGGTGGTGTGAGATTCCCCCTTCTCCAGTACCTGCAGGCATCCTGCATCAGGGAATACAGCAATAGTGATAAGTGGCCAGTCACACCTAAATGGAGGAGTCACATGCATTTCGAAAGTTATAATTTCACAAGAGTGGAATAAATGTACGTGAGATGCACTCAGCATTAACGTAGAAGCCGAAATAATTACAGACTAGCTTTCTACTACATACAATATGGTTTTCTTTTTCCAGGCTGGAGATTTACAGTGCCACATGGTTGGTTAGCAAATTAGAAATCTTTGGGATTGGTGGGCCCTCCGTCGCGTGGGTTAGAAGTTGGCTAAGAAATAGAAAACAGAGGGTAGGTATAGATGGGCATTTCTCAGACTGGAGACCAGTTGGAAGTGGCATGCCCCAGGAATCGGGATTGGGACCCTTGCCTTTCCTGATTTGGATAAATGATTTCAAGATGGGTGCTAAGGGCAAAACCTCTAAATTTGCAGATGGTACTAAGCGAGGGAGAACAGTGAACTATAGGGATGACGCTGAGCGATTTTAGAGGGACATTGACAAGTTGGCCAAATGGGCAGATGCCAGGCAGATAAATTTCAGTACAGAGAAATGTGAGGTAATGCAGTTTGGTAGAAGAAAAGTGGAGAGACATTACAGGCTCAATTGTACAACTGCGAAAGGAGTACAGGAGCAGAGGGACCTCGGGGTTCATGTGTCTGACTCTCTGAATGTGGCCCAGGAGAGTTGAAACAGTAGTTAAGAGGCTGATAGGAAATTTGGGTTTAATAATGGCATTGGGTATAAAAGCAGGGGAATGATGTTACATCTCAACAAAGCATTGGTCAGAACTACTTTTGGAGTTTTGCCTTCAGTCTGGATACCTCATTTAAGGAAGGATGATAAAACCCTGGAGAGAGCTCAAAGAAGATTTACTGGAATGATACCAGGAATGAGGGATTTTAGATACAAGGAAAGTTGAGAGAAGTTGGGCTCATTCTCCTGGGAGCAGAGAAGATTAAGGGGTGACCTGATGGAGGTGTTCAACATTATGAGCAAATGTGACATGCTAGAAGGATATTCTGTTTCCAATCAGTCGGTACGTCAGTAACTGGGGGAGATCACAATTTCAATATTGTCAGCAAGAGAGCTAGGAATGAGTGTGGAGAAATTTACTCCGAGAGTTGTTAGGGATTTGGGAATGCGCTGCCTGGAAGACTGGTGGAGGCGGATTCCATAGAAGGTTTCAGGAGAGAGCAGGATATGTATTTAATAGTGATGGCGTTAGAGGGCTGTGTAGAGAGGACTGGAGAATGGGACTGGCTGGGTAGTTCCTACAGGATGGGTCCTACAGTACAGACAGGATGGGTCGAACGGCCTCCTTCTGCACTGTAAAAGTTCCATGATTCTCGACATCTCGGTCAGCTGGGGGGGTGGTGGTCAGCATCTACATCGACCCTACCGTGACCCTGAAGGAGTTTTGTCGTTGTTCTAAACTCCAGGAAGTGACAAGTAGCTCAGTCTCCTGATGGGTCAGTGCATCCATCCCAGGGATCAGCCTCCTCCTGCTTCCAACCCCCAACCACAGCGCAGCTCACCGCTTTGAGGCTTGACAACTATCGGCGGCTCCTCGGCAAGAGCAAGGGCCCCGCGAGAGAGAGAGACGGACACAGAGTGAGAGAGAGAGACAGAGGCAGAGAGAGACAGAGCGAGAGAGACGGAGCGAGACAAGACAGAGAGACAGAGAGAGAGAGACAGAGAGAGAGCGAGAGAGACAGAGCGAGAGCGAGCGAGCGAGAGCGAGAGACAGAGAGAGACAAGACAGAGACAAGACAGAGAGAGGCAATACAGAGACACAGAGAGAGAGAGACACAGAGAGAGAGAGACACAGAGAGAGAGAGACAGAGAGAGAGAGAGACAGAGAGAGAGAGAGACAGAGAGAGAGAGAGACAGAGGGAGAGAGACACAGAGAGACAGACAGACAGAGACAGAGAGAGAGAGAGAGACAGAGAGAGCCAAGACAGAGAGACAGAGAGACAGAGAGAGAGAGAGAGACAGACAGAGAGAGA